GCTCTGTAGACCAGGCTGGCCTTGAACTCACAAAGATCCACCTGCCTCTGCCTCCCGAGTGCTGGGATTAAAGGCGTGAGCCACCACCGCCCGGCGTCATCTTGCTTTTTATTTCCATGTTTCCTAGACAATTTCTCTCTGATAGGAAAACATACTGATTTCTCTCAGAAGCTGCAAAGTAAACAAAAATGTTCTTATCTAACCCCAAGCTACTGTCTCACCTGTGGGCACCTGCAATGGAGACTTGGCTCTCGAGGATCCTTCTACTAGGTCCATCCCAATGCAATCCACTCAGTAGGGCGAATCTGATCCCTTAAGCATCTCTACTGAGGGCTGGCCACATTGCTTGCTGCCAGACTTGACAACCCGAGTTCAATCTGTAACACTCCCATGGTAGAAGGAGAGAACAGCTGGGGCTGGAGAGCTGGCTCAGAGGTTAGGAGCACATACTGCTCTTCCACATGAACCTAAGTTCAATTCCCAGCACCCACATCAGGAGGCTCAAGACCACCGGTATGTCTTGGGACATCTGACACCTCTTGCCTCTTTGGACAACTGCAGTCACGGTCACAGATTCATCCATATACATAATTAACAAAAATAAAAGTTAAAAAGCCCAAACTGCTCCTGTCCAGCAAAGTAGCGTTTTTCAAAAAACAACAACAACAACAAAAACCACTGCCTTTCATCACTTATAATAAGGAAATTCTGAATAACTTTCCTAGGGACCTATTGAGTCAGAGCTCATGCCTAGTTGGGCAAGGAGTGGGTGTGGCCAGGTGACTGTTTTCTTGGCCTCTGTACCCAAACATCCAACTATTTATGGACCAGTAAAGGAAGTCCCCCATATTCAGAACCCTGATACCCTCTAGGTTCTCTCTTACACAAGCCGGGACAGGTGGGCTAGTTGCCTGAGCCAGAGGCTCCAAGTCTCCTCTCAGTTCTCACACTGGAAAGGAGTTAGCTGGCCTCTCTCAGGGAGATACAGAATTCACTGTCCTGCTGGCCTGGGCCTGGAGACCCCACAGCCAATTAGATAGGAGGAAGGCTGGAGAGAGGGTGGGCTGCAGGGACGCTGGGTGGTTGCCAGTGCTTTCTGCTCTTACAGAAGACCTGAGCTGGTTTCCCAGTTGCAGGGAGCTGGGCAGTCTTTTCCAGCTTCCACCAGCCCTACATAAACCCACGAGCAGACACATAGCCTTAAAAAAGTAAAAGCTTTTTAAAAAAAATTTAAAATGTGTGTGTGTGCACACATGTGAATATAGTTGCCCATGGAGACCAAAGGCATTGGATATCCCTGGAACCGGAGTTACAGATGGTTGTCCGCTGCTGGACATGGATGCTGGGAACCAAAACCTTTAGAATAAAAAAAAAAAAAAAAAAAAAAAAAACGCAAAACATCTTCACCATTGGGAAAAAAAAAAAGTAGCATTTTTCTCCAGCATTCCCTTGAGCCTCTGATGACTCCATCTTTTTCCCGAAGATGGGAATACAAAGCTTTCCCCACAGCCCAGTCACCACCACCAAGATTCACTCTCCTGATGTGTCAATACATACTTGTGAAGGTGGCTCCTACCTCTGTGTTACTGGGTGCCCACTGGGTACCCATCGAACGTATTTCTTCCCTTCTTTCTTCCTATGGGAAGCTCACCTGGCATGTGGAGCCTGGCCCCACCCCTGACCCCACCCCTGACCCCAGGAGGGGGCTATGAAGACAGCCATATTCCAGCCATTGCCAATGGTGAATAGAGGAAGTGAAAGAATTCCTTCATGATCCATCCTTACAGCAAGACACGCAGAGCTCCAAGAAAGACAGATATTTTTATAGCCTCCGTGTGGCCATTATAGAGTGCTGTTTGCAGCCCTTGCCATACCCACCAAATCCGCTCATGCCTTCACTGTGCCTGAAGTTGGCTTGGACTTCACACCGAAGCCAGTTTATCACTTTTCCTCCTCAGACCACTCCCACTTGGGAGAGGGGCTTTCTTGTCACAAAAATCTCAGCTCCCCTCCTCAGTGCTCACCTCACGTTGGTCTTCCCCAAACCCCCGATAAGGTAGTCACAGGCCCTGAAGCTCTAAAGTGGTATGTCTTTGTGTTGTCCCTGGTCCCACGTCACAGTGCTTGGCAGACTGACATTCTCCCCCAGCACCTGTAGAAACTCTCCTAAGACATCTGTATCAGACCTCCTGGTGTCAGACCTGCCCAGACAGCTCTGAGGTCTCTGCAGGCCCTGCAGTGGCACTATCCCAGCCTGGCTGCCCCTGACGCCACCTGCAGTGCTGGATCAACCACATGTTTCCTGACAATGTCCCCAACCCCCACACACCCAAATAAGTTTTTTGTTTTTTTTTTTTTGGTTTTTCGAGACAGGGTTTCTCTGTGTAGCTTTGCACCTTTCCTGGAACTTGCTTTGGAGACCAGGCTGGCCTCGAACTCACAGAGATCCGCCTGCCTCTGCCTCCCGAGTGCTGGGATTAAAGGCGTGCGCCACCACCGCCCCGCTCCAAATAAGTTTTAAAGAGACTTGGGTTGGGCCTGAGAGGCCAGTCTACAAGGTGTCCCTCAGGCTGGGGTTATATCCAGGGACCATCTGACCTCAGAGTCACCTACCTCATAACAAAGGGTGGGAAGTGGTGGTCCAGTTCCCAGGTCTCCACACTTACATTTTGGCTTGCTTTCCCAACGGTGGCACCAGCCCTTCCCCCTCACACAACTCCATGTTCTCCACAGCCTCCAGGACTCCAGCCCTCCATGCCTTGGAGCCTTGGCTTGCAGTTCCCATGACCAGAACGCCTCCCTTCCTTGATTACAAGGTGAATCCCCATTCATCTTAGAACATCTGTCACCAGCCTCACCTCCCTTACGGCCTCTCCCAAACCCAGCCGGTGCTTCCCTCCATTCGTCATTCATGCGAACGTTTATTGAGGGCCATTACACACCACACCGGGCTGACGCTGTAATTACAAAGATAACCCGCCTACTCTGCCTTTGAGTCTGGTTGAGGAGGCAGACGTATAAACACAGCAGGTAGGAAAAAGTTTATTGTTTTGTGCGTTTCATCTTTTCTCCTTATAAAAATAATGCACACTAATTCTACAACACTACAGAGGAATAAAACAAGTCCCTTGACATAACTATTACTAATACTTTCATACATAATTATCTAGGCTGTGTTCAGTATTTAAAGTCAGGTGTCCACATATTACTGTGCTTGATTTACTTTGGACATCTGTGTACACATATTACACAGCTTCACCTCATCTTCGATGGCTACAGAGTGAGCAAACACATGGTCATGCCATGATGGACTCATCTCTGATAACTGAAGTTCCGCTTGTGTCCAGTTTGCATCAACCCTAACAGTGTTACAGGAAAATCCTTCCCAAGTGCGCAAGCACCTCAGGAGGGAGACGTTCCCGAGGCAGAGTACTAAATGCACTACAGACGGATCAATTGACACTCTCCTTGCAAGTGTCCAACAGCACCTTGAACAGATACAAACAGTGCCACTTGCACATGGGATAAAGGCACTCAGGAGGGCCTTTTCAGGCTTGGATAGGCAGGAGTGGGCTGGCCTGGAAGGCGGTCCAAAGGGAGCAGAGTTTTCCAAACAGAGGTCCTGGGGTGGCATTCTGGGCAAAGAGAGCTACAGATTCTGAGGATCGGTTGTGAAAATTCCCAGCAATGTCTGAAGGACTCGATGGGACTGGAGCAAGGATAACAGGCAAGTCACGACAAGTCCTGCATGCCCTGATGATACAGTCACAGGGACCCATGTGCTTCACCTAGGGCACTTAGCCCAGTGCACCTTGGCAGTGAACTGTCCTGCTGCTCTTGGGCCTCAGTCCTAGGGCCTTTCCCAAGAAATCTCAAGAGACTGAAAATGTGAAGGCACCAACGGATGGAAGAAACTCAAATCTCCCAGAGGCTGGCAACTGACTGAAGAAGCATGCAATCCTGACAGCTTGGACTAGGTGCCGACTGCTCCCCACGAGCCAGGCAATCGCTTAACACCATACATACAAGCTCATCTAATCCTGTTGGTGCGTCTTCGGTACAAATGGAAACAAGGCCAGCGTGGCAACATGAAGGAGGGGGCCAGAGTTGCTCTTGGGCCAGCTAGTGGGGGCCCGTCTCACTGCGCCCCGCCCTGCTTGGCAGCAGGTGTGAAGGGGCCCCCTGTCCGTGTGTTTGCAGGTGTGCTCTGCAAAGACAGGGATAGCAGCAGCTAGCTTTGGACAGGTGCCTCAGTGCTCAGGGGTTGTGGGCTTGCAGGGTTGTGAGGCCTCCTCACCACCTGATCACAGTGATGTGAACATTGATTTGGGGCAGGCCACCCTGCCACCCTCCCCTGACCCCTCTCCTACTTGTGTCCAACCCATATGTTATTATTTTTAAGATTTATTTTTAATGATTTGTTGTTGTTTGAGACAGGGTTTCTCTGTGTAGCCCTGGCTGTCCTAGAACTTGCTCTGTAGACCAGGCTGGCCTCAGAACTCACAGGCATCCACCTGTCTCTGCCTCCTGAGTGCTGGGATTAAAGACACGTGTCACCACTGCCTGGTGATATTTATTTATTTTTAAAGTGTGTCTGTGTGTGTGTGTGTGTGTGTGTGTGTGTGTGTGTGTGTGTGAAGAGGGCATTGGATACCCTGGAACTGAAGTTAGAGGGATTGTAAGCTATGCAGTGTAGGTGCTGGGAACCAAACTCCAGTCCTCTGCAAGAGCGGCATCTTTCCAGGCCTCCAACCCAGATGTTTAAGATGGGGAAAAGGGGAGCTATGGAAACACCTCAAAGTCTAGACGGAGAGTCTGAGGCCAACAAACCCTCCTGAGCCTGTGAACAGGTGTCTTCCGTGCTGTGTGAGGACACACTTTCACTTCCCAGTACAGCCTTGTCCTGAGTGAGCTCATGGGTCACTGCACAGGAAGTGCCTGTCACCGGGGCAGGGTAAAGGAAGAGTGGAGGCTGGGTAGGGAAGGAACACGACGCTTACCTTAGCTTCAAAGAAGTTCTTGGCACCTCTGACGCCCTCCAGGGCGACATCGATCTCAGAAAGCTTGGCCAATGCCAGCAGTCCACTGTCCTCTTGCAGCTCACCAGCAGCGGCTTTGTGAAAAATGAGCAGGAACTGCGGGAGGGAGAGGGACCGGAGGGTTACTGCTATCCACGATGCCTCACCAACACAGCCTCGCCAACACAGCCTTGCCAACAAACACAGCCTCACCAACACACACAGCCTCACCAACACACACAGCCTCACCAACACACACAGCCTCGCCATCACAGCCTCACCAACACACACAGCCTCACCAACACAGCCTCGCCCACACACACAGCCTCACCAACACAGCCTCGCCCACACAGTCTCGCCAACACACACAGCCTCACCAACACAGACTCACCAACACACACAGCCTCACCAACACAGCCCCACCAACAAACACAGCCTCACCAACACAGCCTCGCCCACACAGTCTCGCCAACACACACAGCCTCACCAACACACACAGCCTCACCAACACACACAGCCTCGCCATCACAGCCTCACCAACACACACAGCCTCACCAACACAGCCTCGCCCACACACACAGCCTCACCAACACAGCCTCGCCCACACAGTCTCGCCAACACACACAGCCTCACCAACACAGCCTCACCAACACACACAGTCTCACCAACACACACAGCCTCACCAACACACACAGCCCCACCAACACAGCCTCGCCATCACAGCCTCACCAACACAGCCTCACCAACACACACAGCCTCACCAACACAGCGTCGCCCACACACACAGCCTCACCAACACAGCCTCGCCCACACAGTCTCGCCAACACACACAGCCTCGCCATCACAGCCTCACCAACACACACAGCCTCACCAACACAGCTTCACCAACACACACAGCCTCACCAACACAGCCCCACCAACAAACACAGCCTCACCAACACAGCCTCGCCCACACAGTCTCGCCAACACACACAGCCTCGCCATCACAGCCTCACCAACACACACAGCCTCACCAACACAGCTTCACCAACACACACAGCCTCACCAACACAGCCCCACCAACAAACACAGCCTCACCAACACAGCCTCGCCCACACAGTCTCACCAACACACACAGCCTCGCCATCACAGCCTCACCAACACACACAGCCTCACCAACACAGCTTCACCAACACAGCCTCACCAACATACACAGCCTCACCAACACAGCCTCACCCACACAGTCTCGCCAACACACACAGCCTCACCAACACAGTCTCACCAACACACACAGCCTCACCAACACAGCCCCACCAACAAACACAGCCTCACCAACACAGCCTCGCCCACACAGTCTCGCCAACACACACAGCCTCACCAACACAGCCTCACCAACACACACAGTCTCACCAACACACACAGCCTCACCAACACACACAGCCTCGCCATCACAGTCTCACCAACACAGCCTCACCAACACACACAGCCTCACCAACACAGCCCCACCAACACACACAGCCTCACCAACACACACAGCCTCACCAACACACACAGCCTCACCAACACACACAGCCTCACCAACACAGCCTCACCAACACAGCCTCACCAACACACACAGCCTCACCAACACAGCCCCACCAACACAGTCTCACCAACAAACACAGCCTCACCAACAAACACAGCCTCACCAACACACACAGCCTCACCAACAAACACAGCCTCACCAACACACACAGCCTCACCAACAAACACAGCCTCACCAACACAGCCACAATAATCCCTCCGGCCTGAGCAAATGACATTCTTGCCAAGCACTTGAAAAGGATGGGTTTTTTAAAAGATTGACTTTTTAATTGTATGCACATGGGGGAGGATGTGCATGTGCGGGTGCAGGTGTCCACAGACTTCAAAAGAGGGCGTTGGAACCCCTGGAGCTGGGTTATTGGAAGTTGTGAGCTGCCTGATATGGGTACTAGGAACCAAATTTGAATCCTCTGCCAGAGCAGCAAGCACTCTTAGCCATCTCTCCTACCTGGAAAGAACATTTATGTCTATGTATACGTGGAGAATTATTTTGTCCCTTTCCAGATCATCAAAACAATAAAGGGGGGGCTCAATAAGGGCATAGCTCGGTGGTAAAGCAATGCTTAGTATGTGTAAGGACCTGAGTCCAATCCCAAGTAACAAATAAATTAATTGAATTAAATCCTGTTCTCTCCCCCATCAGTAATGCCACTGTTGGAAATCTATCCCTCAAAAATCCACACAATAAGGTTGCCGAGGGCCGGGTGGTGGTGCACACCTTTAATTCCAGTGCTCAGGAGGCAGAGGCAGGCAGATCTCTGAGTTTGCGGGTAGCCTGGTCTACAGAGCGAGTTCCAGGACAGTCTCCAAAGCTACACAGAGAAACCCTGTCTCGAAATAATAATAATAATAAGGCTGCAGATTAACCCTGTTGGTAGAAAGTCCTGGGTTCAATCCCTAGTAAGTATTGCATGAACATGATGGTATAGGTCTGTAATCTGAAAGTTTATTTATTTGTTTGTATTTATTTCTTTGAGACAAGGTCTCACTATGTAGGCTTGGCTGGCCTAGAACTGGGTATCTATACACCAGGAAGACCTCAACATCATAGAAATCTACCTGTCTGTGTCCGTCTCCAGAATGCTGGGATTGTAGGCATGTGGCTGACTCTCATCCATCCAGCCATCCAGCCATCCAGCCATTCTTCATTCAGTGCGTGAGTGCGTGCATACGTCCGTGCGTGCATGCAGGCATGCACATTCCACAGTACAAGTATGGAGGGCAGAGTCAGTTCTTGCCTTCCACCTTATTGAGGCAGGGTCTGTCTTGTTTCTAGCTGGCCCTCCAACTTCCCTCCAATTCTCCTGTCCCTACCTGCCATCTCCCTATGGGAGTGCTGGGTTTACAGATGTGTGCTAATACATCCAGCTTTTTACATGTGTCCGGGGAGTAAACTTCAGGCTCGTACAGCTAGCACAGCTGGAGCCTCTATCTACCAGCCATTTCCCTGCTCCCTGTATGCTATTTTTGAACTAAATAAATTATTTTTTTTTTTTTTAGGGGTGTGTGAATGATCTTGAACTCAGGAAGATCCACCTGCCTCTGCCTTCCAAGTGCTGGGATTACAGACCTTTACCGCACACCCAGCTCCAACTTCATTATTATTATTATTATTATTATTATTATTATTATTATTATTATTATTATTATTGGTGTTGTTGTTGTTGTTGTATTTTTTAAAAAGCATATATTACCGGGTAGTGGTGGCGCATGCCTTTAATCCCAGCACTCGGGAGGCAGAGGCAGGCGGATCTCTGTGAGTTCGAGGCCAGCCTGGGCTACAGAGTGAGTTCCAGGAAAGGCACAAAGCTACACAGAGAAACCCTGTCTTGGAAAACAAAAACAAAAACAAACAAAAAACAAACAAACAAACAAAAAAGCTCATATATTTATTTATGTACTTATTGTGCGTGTGTACCGTGGTACACACGTGGAGGCCAGAGGACTATTTACAGGAGTCGGTTCTCTTCTTAAACTATGTGAGTCCCTGAGACTAAACTCAGGTTGTCAGGCCGGGTCTTTTGAGCCATTTCGTTGCCCCTGCTCCCTGCCCCGCCTTTTTAACATCTCTTAGCTACCTCTGTTTTTCTCCCGTGTTCTGTTTTTGCATGAGACTGCCTACCTTCCTTGCAGTTTCCTAAGCGATCTTCGTAGGCCTTAGTTTATCTTCAATGCGTTAGCTCTTGCTACTTGTCATTTCAGTATTTTATTTGTTTATACACATATGTGGAGGGCAGAGGATAACTTACAAGAGTCAGTTCTCGCCTTCCACCATGTGGGTCCCTGGGATCGAACTCAGGTCAGCAGGTTGGACATCGAGTGTCTCTACCCACTGAGTCACCTCCCCAGTCCTGTTTGTTATTTTTGTTTGTTTGTTTTTGTTTTCTGAGACAGGGTTCCTCTACATAGCCCTGGCTATCCTGGAACTCACTATGTAGACCAGGTTGCTCTCAAACTCAGAGATCTACCTGCCTTGGCCTCCTGAGTGCTGGGATTAAAGGCAACACCACAGCCGGCTCTGTTCACTAGCTTCTGAGATGAGAGGGTCCTGCTATGTTACTGGTCTCAACTGATACTCCAACACTGGCCTCTGGAGTTAGTGGGACTGCAGGGGTGTGCCACCATTCCTGGCTTCCTACAGTATCTTTTGACTCAGAAAAGTTTGACATAAAATCTGCCAAATCCTTTTCTTTCCTCTTGCCAGAGAGAGACTTAGGAAAACCTTCCCCGACACCAAGGTTACATAAACAGTCAGGTATGTTTCTGTCTAGTATTTTTATGGCTTTTTAAAAAAACTTGTAAATATTTAATCTCTGAAATGTATTCTGTTCTATTGCAAGGGTAATCATTAACCTTATTTTCTTCCAAACAGTTACTTAGTAAGCCCCACATTTATTGTGTCATCCACCGTCTTCCTCCACATTCAAAATGTGTGATCGGAGCAAAGAAATCCTGGAGGACAATTGTATCAGGGCCTCTGCAGAATCACTTCTTAAATACCAGGCTCTCCTCTCCCTGACCCTCTCTCTCCCTGGGTCACTTTATAAATATTTAATTCCTTTCTTAAGTATTCTTACAAAGCTAGTGTGGGGGCTCACACCCGTAACATCAGCAACAGGAGGCTGAGGTAGGCAGGTTGCCAAGAGTTTCAGACCAGCGTGGGCTATGGTATGAAACTCTAACCCAAAACAAAACAAAAACAAACAACAACAAAAACCTATGAATTACAAAAAAAACCCTTATTACATTTTATTCATTTTGTATCTGTGCATGCCATGGTGTACATATGGAGGTCAAAGGACAACTTGGCTGGTTCTCTTCTACCATGTGTGAGCCCATGATTGAACTCAGGTTGTCAGGATTTGCCTCCACAAAAACCTACAAGTTGGGGGTCGGAAATGGAGACATGGCTCCGTGGGTCGTGTTGTACTTGCAGGGGACTCAGGTTCTTGCCCAGCACCCACACAGTGGCTCACAAACATCTAGAATTCCAGTTCTAGGGGATTCAAGACCCTCTTCTGGCCTCTGTGAGCACTAGGCATGCACATGGTACACATACATCCATGCAGGCAAAACCTTTATACACATAAATAAAATAAAATAAGTCTTGAAAAATTACAGATTTTTCTAAGCACTATCCAATTTCTATGGACACCACCATCCCCCATTTATAAACGGATGGGCCCAAACCACCGAAAGAGGTTTCTCCAGGTTTTCAGGTGCTACTGAAAGCATGTACAGAGGGAAAATATAGCCATCTTCCCTAAAGAATGCTTTTTCTGAAAGACAGTCAACCGCCTCAACAGGCTTTCCAAATCCCAATTCCAGGGTCTTAGCTCCCAAGGCTACAACTTCCTTTTTGCTAGGAAGCCTGCTTGACACTTGCACTTCTTACTCAGGCCTCACTCAGCGGTGGACACTGGTGACCACTAACCCAAGGGATGAAGGGAGGTGTGTGGGGACTTGTAGCTTCTCTGAGGTCCCTGAGGCTGTCCGGATGAACAGAAATGCCACACTCACCCGCCTGCAGCTTCCAACTCTCTCACTAGAGGCCGGCAAAGACTCAGTTTGCAGCAGGTTTTTAGAGCCAGCACATTGGCTGGAGAGGAAGCAAGTCTGTTATAGGCGGCCAGGCTCCCAGCAATGGGATGCAGGCCAGGAGGGTGGGGAGAGTGGGAACTGCTGCCTTCCTCTTGGTTCTCTCTTCTCTCATGAAAGAGATGAAGCGAAGACTTCAGCACTGCAAATGTGAGCTGTGGATGGAGTAAACGTCTGCCCCTCAGCACCTGACTCCTGTGACGCTTTGGTCCCTTAGTCCAAAAGTGTTAAGAGGTGGTAGCCGCAAGAAGGCCAATAGGCCCCTGAGAGGGAGGATGCTTTTCTTAGGGGCTGTGTACTCCCATTCTCTCACCATGACGATCTTCCTCCATCCGTGCTTGCCCTGTGCTTTCCACCCTGACTTAAAGCTGCACACGGCCTCCACCAGGAGCTTTGCAGAGGCTGGTACCATGCCCTTGGACTCCCAGAACTGCAGTTCAAGACAAACTTCTTTTCTTTCTAAATAATCCAAGCTGGGAAGGTCTGTTATTACAAAAGAAACCTGGCCAAACACCTAGCAGTCCTTAAAGTCCTTCGTTTACTGGAGGTCTCCACAAGGAGAGCCACCTTCTACAGGAACACTTCTCAGAGACTCAGCAAAGAGGGAACATTGTCCCAGCTCAGCATCCAGCGACTCTCCATTTCCCAAGACTCAGTTTTCTCACCTCTAAAATGGAGGTGGGGCTAGTGAGAAGGCTCAGAGTATTTGTCATCAAGACTGACAACCTAAGCTTGATCCCCAGGGCCCACATGATGGAAGTTGTCCTCTGACCTCCACAGTTGTGTTGTGGCATCCATGTACCCCTTCCCTCAACACTAAACAATTAAAAATATAAAACTAAATTTTCAAAAAGTGTAAGTGGAGGTGACTGTTCACATTCACAGAAGAGCTTTGTGAACCAGAAACATTAGCGAATCCCTTGGGCCTTTTCCAGTACTGTTTGCTCTGAGCCCTGAGGTCCAAGACATCCAGGACCAACAGCATTCCCCATCAAAACCCAGGGGTCTCCTAACCCCAGCCAGCCAGAAAAGAAAAGAAAAAGGAAATCCAGTTCAACCCAACGGCATCCAGCATACCCAGCACTCCTATTTCACCTGTTATAGTCACTGCCTCGAATGACAGTCCCCTTCTCTGCCCAACCTTGTTTGTTTTCCTATTTATAGTCCACAAAGGCTGGCATGGTGTTGAGCTGGAAAACGTCCCAGTGGTGACTCTGAGGGGGAGGGGAGCGGAGGTAGAGAACAAAGGCCAAGGGCAGAGGGAGGGAGCTAGCACAGTTCAGAAGCTCTTTCAGTCCCAAGCCCGTGGATGCCCGTCCCAAGAGTGAGGGAATTTTTAACTTCAGGACTGTGGTTAGTGGTGTACAAATACTTCCCATGTTAGAGGGCTTCGTTTGTAAGTGACAGACGTAAATTTCTTTTTTAGGACAAAGGAGGTAACTCACTGTAGAGAAAGGATGTGTCAAGAACCCAAGGATGGGCTGACAAGAAGGCTCAGCAAGCAAAGGGGCTTGCTGCCAAGGCTGACAGCCTGAGTTCAAGCCCTGGGCTGACATAGCGGAAGGGGAGAACTAACTTCTCCAAGTTGTCCTCTGCTCTTCACACATGCACGGAGGCACATATGTCCCGTTCAATAAATAAGGTAAAACAGGGTAAAGCTAGGTGTGACAGTACAAGCCTGTAATCCCATCAGAGGCAAGAGGATCAGGAGTTCAAGGTCATCCTCAGCTACAAGAGTGAGTTTGAGGCCAGCCTTCGCTATGTAAGACCCTGTCTTCAGGGATGAAAAGATGGCTCCAGCAGTTAACTGCATTTGTTGCTCTTGTAGAGGACCCAGGTTTGATTCTCAGTTCCAACATGGAGGCTCACGATCATTTGTAATCCCAGTTCCAGGAGATCTGATGCTCTCTTCTGGCCTCCAAGGCACTAGACACACATGTGATATACAGATGTACATATAGACAAAACATTCATACACATAAAATCATTTGTAAAAAAATGTTTTTAAGACCCTGTCTTAACTCTCCCCACCCCTAAAATCACACACACACACACACACACACACACACACACACACACACACACACACACACACACACACATAGAAACAGAGATAGAGAGAGAACCAATGGACTATGGTGATACTCGCCTATAATCTCCAGCACTATAAGAGGCTAAAATAGAAAGATTGCTATGTGTTCAAAGCCAGCCTGGGCTACATATTGAGTTCTAGGCTAGTCTAGACACCAGAGTGAGACTCTGACTCAAAAAACCAAAGAGAACTCCACGGTGGCAGGCGTGTGGTACAAGTCTACAGGTTCAGCCCTTGGGGACCTAAAGCAGAAGAACCCCCGTCTGAAGCCAGCCTGGGATGGATTCTGCTTCCAGGAAAGGTGAACTTTCTCAAGAGGCACACACAGTTCTGACAGCCAGAGGTCTGCCTGAGAGCCCAGGTGACTTCTGCCGTGGGTAGATACAGCAAAGCAAATCACAGAGCAGGGTGAAGCTTGTGGGGGGTCTAGATGGTCACATGTCCTCACACTTCCAAGCCCACAGACCTAGGACAATCTAGAAATGGGACCAAGACAGGGCTTGGCGCTCACAAAGAAAGGACTAATGTGAATAGTGTTGGAGTTGCTTACAGGGGCCGAGAGCTGACAAAACTGCTTTGGAGCGCTCCAAACCTTGGATGTCCACCTCTGTGAGAAATGGCCACACCAGAAGCTAAACAAAAGATGGCCAAGGAGCTTCGATTCAGTTGGATAACCTGTGGTGGCCTCTGAATGAAACAGGAGAGAGGAAGCTGGAGAGATGGCCCAGTGGTTAAGAGTACTGCTCTCAAGGGCCTGGCTGATTCAGAACCTACAATAGGAAAACAGAAAATGTCTAATTCTATCATCTTGACATTAGGAGGCTGTCACAAGTTATGTGACATCATGTCCAACTGAAACATCAAAAAATCTTCCAATAAAACCCATACACACCCCCCAAAAATTATGTAAGAAGTCAGACAAAGTGGCTCATAGGCAGAAACTTATAGCAATCCTCCTGACTCAGCCTTCATGTACTGGGATTATAGACATAAGCTACCATGAAAGATTTTTTTTTTTTGAGACAGGGTCTCATGTAATTCACTGTTCACTCATGATCAGCCTCTAGCTCCCGAGTGCTGGGATTATAGGAATGTTCCACCCACACAGTTTACAAAGGATGTGTTTAAAAGCTGAGTTGATGATTAAATATCCATTCAAAGAGCATTCTCAGAGGCAAACCCATTTGCATTCAGGGGCTGTGGACTGGGGGTCTTCTCAGGCTCAGCAGGCCAGCGGTACCTCCCGGAAGCTGAGCTTGCCATCGAAGTCCTCATCCACCTCTTTGATCATACTCTTCAGGCCCAGGTGGGTCTGGGGAGCCCCCAGTTTCTCCATCATGAGTTTCAGCTCCATCAGGTCAATAAAGCCATCCCTTCCAGCATCATACCTGCAAGGTCAGAGGAGGAAAGGTCAGGACAAAACTAGTTTCCCAGATGTGTAACTCTTGGTTTTATCTACGGAAGAGTAACTGCCTCCTGCTTTGCAAGGCTTTTCAGGCCACTTTACCACAAGTGACCCCTCAAGGCTACCTCATCAGGAGGGAACCCCCCCCCCCCACCACCACCACCAAGGCCACCTTATCAGAAGGACCCCTCAGGCTACCTCATCAGAAGAGACTCCTCTTTTAGCAAAAAATTTGTCTTTGTGCTTTGCACTCTCAAAACGTTGTTCATGTCCTTTATTTCCTTCATGGCTTTCATTTTCAGTCAACCAACACAGATCCAACACCTCCAAATATTGGACTCTGTGCGTGGGGCATGCCCTGAAACTCAACAAATGCTACACCTAGTGACAGACCGTCCTAGTGGTCGCCATCCTGGAGTCTCTGCCACACCCATTCCTGGCAACCCCCTCTCTCTCCTGCTTGTCTTGTGTCTTTGAAAGCTGCCTTCCACCCCAAGAGTGGCTGTGAAGTGGGTGTGGTCTCGCCTCAGGCTCTGTGCTTCTACTTCCGGGTCACTTATCTCCATGCCTGAGCAGTCACAGCTCTGTGGGTGGCTGTCCTCCCACGGGCCAGCTCCTCTCCTGGCTGTCACTCTAGCCATGCATCCCTGCCTGGAAATAAGACCAGCTTCATGAAGTAAGAGGTCGACCTTGACCCTTTCTCCTTGGGCCAGCCATCTTCAGGTACCTACTCTGCACTTCCTCCCAGCCACTTCCTACCCAGCTCCCTTTCAACACATAGGGCCTCCCAGGACTTCCCAAGGGCTCCTTGGCTCCCTTCCCAGTGAGCCCTTCTTATATTTCCTGCTTCTTCGTACTTCCCAGAAACCCTTTGTTGCTCAGGTCTGAACATCTTGCTTTAAAGAACAAACAAGAAAGTGACAGCACTCTGGAGGTAGAGGCAGACAGATCTCTGTGAGCTCCAGGCCAGCCTGTTCTAAGTAGTGAATTCCAGGCCCATAAAGAGAAACCCCATCTCAATAAAATAAAAAGAACAAATAAGAGGCTTAGGATGAAGCTCAATGAAAGAACACTTGCTTAGCATTAGGCAGGAAGCCCCGGGTTCCGTTCCCCAGCATCACATACACAGAAACAAGAATGAATCAGTTAGGAGGGGAGGGGGAGGGGGAGTGCACGCCTTTAATCCCAGCACTGGAAGGCAGAGGCAGGAGGGTCTCTGTGAGTTTGAAGCCAGCCTGGTCTACAGAGTGAGTTCCAAGACAGCCAGGGCTACACAGAGAAACCTTGTCTCAACAAGAGAATGAATCAGTCAGGTCTCCACAGCCAAGATCTGGGAAGCACCCAAGAGTCCAGAGAGAGAGGGGCTGATAACACAATGGGCTCACCCACACAGTGCAGTACAGAACAGTTACAGATTGGAATATTCTTCAGCAATAAAAGGAAGAGAACTTTGACGCATGGTGCACACAGGTGACCCTCAGGGATGCCACAATAAGTCAATTAAGTCAGTCACAAAAGGACAGTAGCCAAACTCATATAGACAGGTTGAAGGGTGTTTTCTGGGGTGGGAGGGATGGCTTCATGGGTAAAGGTTCAATCTGGGACAAGGGTCAAGTCACTGGTGCAACTCTGTGTACATACTGAAGGCCCCTCAACTGTGTTCACTTAAATGGTTAATATGGTCATTTTATTTCCTTTGTATTTTTATTATTTTTAATTATGTGCATGTATGTGAATCTGGGTGTGGGTATGTGCCCATGAGTGCAGGTGCCCACAGAAGCCAGAGGCTTCAGATCGCCCTGAGATGGAGTTACAGGAGGTTGTGAACTACCTGATGTGAGTGCTAGGAACTCAATTTGGGTCCTCTATAAGAGCAGCGCTCACTCTGAACCACAGAACCATCCACCGGTCCACTCCTCACTCCCGTGTGTGTATATGTGTGTGTGTGTGTTTAGACAGGGCTCCACTCTGTAGCTCAGACCAGCCTCAAATTCACTCTGAATCTCCCAAGAGATGGATTGCAATTGTGTGCAACTATACCAGCTTGAAGTGGTCATATTTGTTAAGCACATTTTTCCATATTTTTAAAAAATTATATTCAGTCTTTTCTACTATCTATCTGCCCCCACCCCCATAATGAAAAAGCATCTCTGTTGAGAACCACCACCATTCACCAAGAAATGTAGCCTGTGGGCAACTGGAAATCTTAACTGTGGGCAGTGGTATTTAAAGCTCACATTGTCATGCTGGAAGGGGCCAGGACTCCTGGACACACTGACACACCGCATTCTAGCCACAGGGGCTGATTCATGCTGTTCTGCTCATTGCAAACACAAGCACCACTCCCTCCTCCGCAGCCTTCTTGGTCCCCAATAGCATCCATTGTATGTCCTTTTCTGGTGCCAGGATTCACTGCCCTCTCCTGCTAGCTGTTTCTTCTTCAAGCCCTCTGAGCTCCCACTGGGCACAGCCTTGTTGCTGGAAGACCTACTCTACAAAGTATACAGGCAAGATCTCTGTGTGACTAGTGATAACCTCTGAGAATCCCGTAATATCGGTGCCCCATGTCTGGAAATTAACAGGGTGCCTCCAGGTTTCCAGATGGGCCAGTCCAGGACCCCAAGGCATAAAAGGATGATGTATGATCACTTAATAACACAATACCAAACATCCAGGAAGCTGAGGGAGGACTATCTCAGTGAGTTTAAGGCCAACCTGGGCTACAAAGCTTGAGACCCTATCTCAAAACAAGCAAACAATGATTTCCATGGATTTACCAAAACTGACTCAATGTAGACCTCATTTACCTACTTTTTTTTTTTAACTGAAAAATCAAAGCTCTAGGGCTAGGAATGTAAGTAACTTGGTGGGTGGTACAGCCCTTGTCTGCAGCCCTTGTGTGAGGTTCCAAATGACTCTCCCATAGTCATGAAAATAGATGTTTGAGCTATTTCTCTTTTTTGGATCTCACAAATGATGCCACTTTGGGAGTGGCGATGTGGCACAGCGGTTAAGAGCACTATTATTCTTACAGGGGATCCAAGTTCCCAGCACCCACATCAGAAAGCCTACATCCACCTATGACTAGAGTTCCAAGGGATCTGATACCTGCTTCTGGCCACTGTGGTTATGAGTGCACACATAGTACACACGCACATACAAATGAATAAAAATAAAACTTAAAAGCATACATCTTAAAAAGGAAACTCTTCAGAAGTCTAACCTACTTTAAAAAAGATGATGCCATACTGAAGACACAATACGTCTGACTCAGAACCTGGGGAAAAGAAGCTGTCATTAAGCTGGAAGCCTCATCTCTATTGGCTAGCTTTCAGTGTTCGAAGGTGCTGCGGACACTAACGGGAGAAAAGGAATCATCATTCTCAACAAATGTGAACCCTGGAGCTAAAACAAGACACACCCACTGGTGCAGCAGTGGCCCAAATGTATGGGAGTAACCAACCACTTTTTCATGGGACTCCAGGCAGATTCCACAAGTTGAAACCACCCACACCTAGCACCATTACTGAGGCCAAGAACCTGTGGTTAGATAGGCCATGGGCCTTAGGGGAGAACTTGCTACTATCACTCTGCTAAATGTACATAATATTAAACTGACTCCTAATGACTTATTGTTATACCCATAGATTAGTGTATCAGGAGCTCTTACCAGAGAAGCTTCTTTTTGCAATAGATGGTGGTTAACACAGAGACCTACAACTGATCAAGGAGCAGAGAACAAGACTACAGAATGCTCAGTCCTAAGTGGGACAGTTATACCACATCCCCTCCTCCCAAGGCTAAAGGATCATGATGGAAGAGGGGGCAGAAAGGTTTTAAGAGTCCAACGTAATGGCTGAGTAAAGGACACAGCAGGGAAACTGCACATGGGAACTAAGAGTATTTTAAACGTCATGCACAAGGCCTATGCAGACTCAGGCTAGATAAAATTCTAGCATGGAGAGGAGAGATGAAGTACCAGCCCTAGCTAAGAAGTATTGGCAGTTGATATTTCACACACACACACACACACACACACACACACACACACACACACACACACTCAGAGAGAGAGAGAGAGAGAGAGAGAGAGAGAGAGAGAGTGTTTTCTTTAATGGTATGGTGTTGGTAGACCAGCCTCCAATGAAAGTCACATATCCAAGACCAAGAGCAGTATAAACTGTATTTGTATTTGATAGGTGTCTTAGTTAGGGTTTCTATTGCTGTGAAGAGACACCATGAGCATGGGCAACTCGTATAAAAGGAAACATTTAGTTGGGGCTGGCTTGCACTTCAGAGGTTTAGTCCATTATCATCATGGTGAGAAGCATGGCAGTGTGAAGGCAGACATGGTGCTGGAGAAGGAGCTAAGAGTTCCACATCTTGATCCACAGGCAGCAGGAAAAGAACTGCCTTGAGCTTCTAAGACCTCAAAGCCCGCCCCCTAGTGACACACTTCCTCCTACAAAGTCACACCCCCTCCTAACAGTGCCACTTCCTATGGACCAAGTATTTATAGACATGAGTCTGTGGGGGCCATTCCTATTCAAACCACCACAGTTGGTTTAAAAAAAAGGACACAAAGTTGGGTGGGTACGGAAGTAGAGGTGAATCTGGAAGAAGTTAGGGGAGGGAGTAAACATTATCAAAATGCATCGTACTAATAAAAAATGTTTCCACTTTGAACACTGGGGTACAAGTGTTCCTGTGTTTCAGTTTGCTTGTGATATGTCCAAAGGTGAACTGCTGGGATGACACACACTCCTTTACTTTGGAAACAGAGATGTCAAGCTGGCCCAACAGAAAACCAGGGCCAACTCTGATGCCACTGCTCAGGTGAGCAGGGCTCTCCACTATGCACTTGTGGGAGACTCACCCAGACAATAAGGGGGGCTGTCTGTTCCTGAGCCATCTAAGGAAGGTGATCTCTGATCTTGCTGGGGCATATCTGTCAGGAAAGAATCTAGGCCCAAAACTAGTAAA